CAGCTTTTCTTTGGTTCGTTCAATTTCCTTGTCAACAACGTGTATCGCTTCTTCCAGCCTTTCAAACGCCTAAAATTTCCCACTGCCATAAGAGATTATTTTTGAAAAAAAAGCCAACAAAAGAAAAATTGATAAGATGGACCAATAAAAAAGAAACAATGGAAAAAAATCGTGAAAAACAGACAATCCAGAGAACGATGCTTGAAGAACCAATGCAGAGGAAATGTACATGCGTGTCGAAGGGTAAATCCATGCGCAACTGTCCTGCTGGAAATTTTCAATAACCTGGTAGTAGTGAAAAAAAAATTTTTTTTTTGTTTTCTCGAATCGCCTTCTGTGTTGCCGCGCAATTTTTCTTCACAACAAACGCTATTTTTCTTTCTCGTTTTTTTGTTGAAAACCCATATTTAGTGCAAAATTTTTTTATAAAAAAAACAAAAATTAATTTTTTTTTCAAATTTAAAAAATTCTTTTCATTTTTTTTCGCTGTATTTAGGCATATGAAGTAGCAGGCTACTACTGCTGTACAAGTAGTGATTGGCTAAGTGCCCTAAATCATAAGAAGCAGTGTTGCTCAACAACAATTTCATTAATGAATATGATAGTTTCAACAGTGGACATACGAATTCCCAATAGGTTTTTCGAACGATGATTGAAAGGAGTTTCTCTCGGTGAATGCACGAAGGGCACTGTCCCTTCCAGATGCACAAAACAACAACACCTAAAGCAGAAAACTACACAATTTTTTTGTGCGCGGGAATTGAACAATTCAGAACACCTGGCCAAATATGTCCGTGTGTACGTACCAGCAGCAACCATCGTCTTTACTTAACATGCGTTTCTTGCACAATTTTGTAGTTTGGGGGAAGAGGGGAGGGGGAGGGGAAAGGCGGAGAGGAGAAGGGAAAAGTCTACCCGGACAGCCACAGGCACAAAGTACTGGAAAATTTGGAATTCTACTAAAATGCTAATGAAAATGATCAAACTGACAGCATTAAAAGGTTGGAGCAAGACGGGGTAAAGACGTACCTTACGGCTGTATGTGTAATTTGGTTGCAGTGTAGGCAAACAAAGAAAAAAATAGTCGAATTTTAATATTTAGTGAAACTCAAAAAAGCCATTTCTCACGTGAGCAAACCGGTATTTAAACTAGGTGACGTCTGTGTTTCATCCCTGAACTGTAAACACAGACGGCTGAAAAAGTTGAGCATGTACGTGGGCTAGATCTCATACTTAACTAGAAATACATGCCAACTGCATATTCACAATGCAAAGTTTGAGTAGAACGGGGTGGGAAGAGGGAGAGGGTGGAGGGGAAAATTACCCGGACCGCCACAGGGACAAACCTGAGTATGCAAGTGGCTAGATTCCGCATTTAACAGGAAATATACGCCCGCTACGTGTCTGAAATCCCAGAAATATCTTTTCTGTGATCCCACCGGTGTTTTTCAAAGATCATTGATAAGGGAAAAGTCTGATATTAAAAAACCTCCTTTTCCAGGCACCACAGCAAAAAAGTTTTTCTTTTTTTTCAGAGCCTTTAAATATGATCCGCCTTCACTGGATTCCGCAAAAATGATGCCCATTTAGAAGCAAAACAAAAGAAATATTCTAACTTTCGTAGAAT